TTTTAATAAAGCATAAAGGTTTAATCTTTGCCTCTATATTGCCTTAATCAGTCTTGGTTGATAGAAATAATTTCTCACTGGCCGGGCGCGGTGGCTCAAGCCTGTAATCCCAGCACTTTGGGAGGCCGAGACGGGCGGATCACAAGGTCAGGAGATCCAGACCATCCTGGCTAACACGGGGAAACCCCGTCTCTACTAAAAAATACAAAAAACTAGCCGGGCGAGGTGGCGGGCGCCTGTAGTCCCAGCTACTCAGGAGGCTGAGGCAGGAGAATGGCGTGAACCCGGGAGGCAGAGCTTGCAGTGAGCCGAGATCTGGCCACTGCACTCCAGCCTGGGCGGCAGAGCGAGACTCCGTCTCAAAAAAAAAAAAAAAAAAAAAAGAAATAATTTCTCAATTTTATCCCTTACTGGCTGAAAATAAAAATTAGTTCTACTTTTCAGTCACTGAGTCTTAGAATTTTGGGGCTCCATAAAATCTCTTTTAATTTTTTTTTTTTGAGACAGAGTCTCTATTGCCCAGGCTGGAGTGTAGTGGCACCATCTCACCTTACTGTTAGGCAACCTCTGCCTCCCAGGTTAAAGTGATTCTCCTGACTCAGCCTCCTGAGTAGCTGGGATTACAGGCACGTGCCACCAAGCCTGGCTAATTTTTGTATTTTTAGTAGAGACAGGGTTTTGCCATTTTGCCCAGGTTGGTCTTGAACTCCTGGCCTCAAGTGATCCACCCGCCCTCGGCCTCCCAAAGTGCTGGGATTACAGGTGTGAGCCATTGCACTTTAAGCCACCCTTTTAATTCAACTTGCAACATGGTCCATTCTAAGCTTATCTTTCTTGTAATATCCTGTTAAATGTAGTGAACAGAACCAACATGTTACCAACCATCTATTTTCCCACTTCTTCATCTAAAGCCACAGATCAACTAGGCACAGAGTATTTGTCATCCAAATTACTGTGCTAGTTTCACTAAAGCCTTCATCATTATGAAACATGGATCACTACCTTTCCAGGCTCCAGTAAGTTTCCTTGGTGTTTGCTGGTCAGCCCACATAATTTCGGATGGCAACACTCTACTATGGTGCTGTATCAGTTAACATGTGATGTAGTGAGCAGCAGTAACCACCTTAAAATCTAAGGGATTTACAACAGTAATTTTTTGCTCATTCCTAGTCACATGGCAACAAATGGGATCTTCTTATGGGAAAGGAGTGAATAACTGGGAACAATAAATTAGTATCGCAAATTTTAAGCAGGAAATAAATCTCTTGGTTTATTATTCTTAGGATGATTTATTGATTGAAGTATCTGAGAAGTACAGATTACATCTGAATCTTCCAAAACCTATTGATACTGAAATGACTACAGCAAAATTTATCAAAGAAAACTCCACGCTAATCATCACAATGCCTTTGGTGTAAAAGAAGAGCATCATGTTTTGGTTTTCAGTGCTAAAGTCATGTGAATTAAAGGACCTTCGTTATGGCTAAAGCGGTAGTAGTTTATCTTAAACACTAATTCCATTATTTTCTAAGTTCATTTTGACTGAGATTTTCTCTTCAGTTGTTATGATTATATATACATATACTTTTTTTGAGACAGCGTTTCGCTCTTGTTGCCCAGGCTGGAGTGCAATGGCACGATCTCAGCTCACTGCAACCTCCACCTCCCGAGCTCAAGCGATTCTCCTGCCTCAGCCTCCCGAGTAGCTGGGATTACAGGCACGCACTACCACACCCGGCTATTTTTTTGTATTTTTAGTAGAGACAGGGTTTCACCCTGTTGACTAGGTTGGTCTCCAACTCCTGACCTCAGGTGATCCACCTGCCTCGGCCTCCCAAAGAAGTGCTGGGATTACAGGCAGGAGACACCACACCTGGCCATGTCTTATATTTTTAAATTCACTTCTTCTTCTCAAATAAACATCAACCAGAAACTATTAAAAACTATTGCCATGACACGCCTGTTTTAAAAATATCTTAAGTAACTTATCATTTGGGGAAATTCTAATTGTTTCCAAGTAACAAGTGAGAACTCTTGGTTTACTGCTTGAAAAAGTCTCTAGTAAATTTTTATATCAGGAAAAAATTCCAGACTGTGCAAGAAGTTTTTTTAACCAGGGTGGGTTGTATCAGTGAGTCTCCTCCAATAATAAAAATACAGGGCCAAATATAATATTCAAGCCTATTTAACCTCTGTACTAATTGAGACTGAGTCTCGCTGCGTTGCCCAGGCTGGGGTACAGTGGCACAATCTCAACTCACTGCAACCTTCGCCTCCCAGGTTCAAGCGATCCTATCTCAGCCTCCTTAGTAGCTGGGACCACAGGCATGTGCCACCACGCCTGGCTAGTTTTTGCATTTTTAGTAGAGAAAGGGTTTCACCATGTTGGCCAGGCTGGTCTCAAACCCCTGACCTCAAGTGATCCATCTGCTTCAGCCTCGCAAAGTGCTGGCATTACAGATGTGAGCTACCGCACCCAGTCCCTAACCTCTGTACTTCAGTTAAACAACTCTGCCAGGAGACCCAGCTACCCAGCCAGACATTTTAGTATCAGATACAGACTTGTCGATAGATTGGATACAATGACATAGTAACAGCAAACAAAATATATATATATATTTTTTTTTGAGATGGAGTCTTACTGTTGCCCAGGCTGGAATGCAGTGGTACAATCTCTGCTCACTGAAACCTCCACCTCCTGGGTTCAAGCGATTCTCCTGCCTCAGCCTCCAGAGTAGCTGGGATTACAGGCGCCTGCCACCTCCCCTAGCTAATTTTTGTATACTTAGTAGAGACAGGGTTTCTCCATGTTGGCCAGGCTGGTTTCGAACTCCTGACCTCAGGTGATCCACCCTCCCTGGCCTCCCCAAGTGCTGAGATTACAGGCGTGAGCCATTGCGCCCAGCATGCAAAATGTATCTCGTATTTGAACAAAAAAAGTAGTTGACATTGCGACAAGTGCTTTTCTCCTAAAGAAATGATCAGAAGTACAAAAGTGATGTACTTTCAACTATCATTCATCTCTTCTAAGCTCTGAAATACAAAGGTACCAACTATCCAATTTATACACCAAGTAAGCTATATACAGACTTTACACATCCCTTAATTATCTTTTCTAGATACAAGTTTCCTTTAATTATCCTTGTAATAAAGTTTCTAGTTCAACATACAGGCTAAAGTTCTTACTAATTTTAAAACTTTTTAACTATAGAAACTAATGCTGTATAACAGAAATAACTGATACATGACATTTAAAAGCAAATACAAAATTTTTTTTTTTTTTTGACAGTCTCGCTCTGTCACCCAGGCTGGAGTGCAGTGGCGCGATCTTGGCTCACTGCAACCTCTGCCCCCTACCACTGCCCCACCCCAGGTTTCAAGTGATTCTCCTGCCTCAACCTCCCCAGTAGCTGGGATTACAGGTGCCTGCCATCATGCCCGGCTAAATTTTTGTATTTTTAGTAGAGACTAGGTCTCACCATGTTGGCCAGGCTGGTCTCAAACTCCTGACCTCAAGTGATCTGCCCACCTCGGCCTCCGAAAGTGCTGAGATTACAGAAGTGAGCCACTGGGTCTGGCCTAAAAGCAAATATAATTTTCTTAAGCCTGGTCTGGATTTTTGGGTTTTTTTTCCCCCTTGCCTCAAATCTCCTTTTTGAAGGCCTGGCCTGGATTTAAATTCTACTAGCAACAGGATAATTTATCTCCTGAAAAATTTCTGGAACTGTATCATGTCCTAAAATTAACAAACCTATTCTCAACCCTCAAAAAAACGTGAGTCTCACCTTATCTTTCCTCCTACAAAATCACTACCAAAATGTATTTCCTAAAAATTCCTAACCACATAGAAGTGAATCTCTACCCTTGCACTCAGTACTTAGAAGCTACTTACATCAGTATCTGTGTTTGTATACTCATTAAAATGCACATCAAGACCTAATATACTTAAAGTGGTAAAATTTACATTCTAGTTATTTTCCAAAATATTCTCACTCATTTTATATTAATAAAAACAGCTCTACCTTCCCCTCCCTACAAAAAACAAAATAGGGCCCAGGAAGGGCATTAACTAATAATGAACTATGGACTGGTTTAAATTGGAATCTTACTAAGATTTCTTTTTCTCAAAATTCAAAACTTGGAGGCTGGGCACGGTGGCTCACACCTGTAATCCCAACACTTTGGGAGGCCAAGGTGGGCAGATCACAAGGTCAGGAGATAGAGACCATCCTGGCTAACATGGTGAAACCCCATCTCTACTAAAAATACAAAAAATTAGCTGGGTGTGGTGGCACACGCCTGTAATATCAGCTACTCGGGAGGGTGAGGCAGAAGAACTGCTTGAACCCAGGAGGCAGAGGTTGCAGTGCACTGATAACCGCACCACTGGACTCCAGCCTGGGTGACAGAGCGAAACTCCATCTCAAAAAAAAAAAAGAAATTTGGAGACAAGATTTTTCTACAGAATTCATTGTAGATCACTTATCAGTAGTGATGATGATTTCCCCATGTATTCCAGGACTTGTGCATTACACATGATGAACATTCCTCCTATCTCTCTAACGTACTTGTTTACTCCTTTCTAGATCATGCCTTGGGATACCCTAACTAACTTCACAATCACAACCTTCAGAATTGGGAATAAATCACCTAACACAACCAGACTACACTTTCCATCTTGGTAATAAGTTTCACACCCCAACATGGGGTGCTTCAGGAACTCTTTGAGCTTAAAGTGTTAGATTATATTCTCCTAAATTGCGAGCTTATACATACGTGGCTGTCCCTAGATCTAAATAATTTAAATGTGAAAATAATTACCAACAGATCAAAACTTAAACCAGACATATTGAAGATTTATACTTTAATTTTTAAATAATCACATATGAACCAAAAACACTATTTCTTTCTTATTAAAACTTTTTTCTTTCAGTTCCGGTAAGAGACTGAATTCTGATTTAGATTATAGCTCAGATTAATTTTTAACTCAACAATGTTTATTAGAAGGCAACTAATTTTTATTTTTATTTTTTCAAGGGAACAACAGAACCACAAGCATTAGCAAAAGATGAATTCTCTTTGAAGTTTTGAATGTTTGAACCAGATTTGGATCATATTGATGATGGTCCCTTGTGATAAACTTGTTTCTTTTGGATAATTTTCAACCTAAAATTACTAATTACTGAAAAATCAGATTAATGTATTGTTTTCATAATAATACAGCAAGGTAAAAGTCTGTGTGGAATATATGGAGTGTCACTTGTGCACCATGTAATAATGAATATTTAGAAACAGATTCAACACTGAAACACTTAAAGCAAATTTCAGGGGCTAACTCCACATATTACATATACAAGAAGCACTGGTCAGATTCATTTTAAGTAGTCATAAATAATTTCAAACATTTATTAAAACACATAAATATTAATAGAAAGTCTAGAATTGTGATAATGTTCCCAATTCATTTTTATAATCCAGAATATCGCCTCCCTCCTTCCCTCCAAAAGGCAGGCAAAATCTAACAAAATGGATAAAAGTACTTAGGCTAATAAGGTAGCAACCTAGTTAATTTTTTCTCTCCAACAGTATTTTAGGGCTTTCTTATTTTACATGGGACGATGCTGGAGTAGAGGGACACAGAACACTCTTTTACACACATTTAACTTCTTTACTTTATCCAAGTAGAAACTACCATTTTGTTTTTGGCATTTTTAAGCACTCCAAAATGTTTACTAATGTACCCCTCCTCTTCTTTTCAGACAGGATTTGGGATAAATGAACTTTGGCACATATCTAACTCTAGTAACCATATTTTACATATGTACACTTATTCCATATCTATTCCTCAGTTATTTGATAGTATTTTCCACAGTGAAGTAATAAATTCTGTTCATTAGGTTCATTTACAATGAACTACCAGTTAATCTTGGAAAATTTTAGTTTCACAACTTCTGTTAAATTCTATTAAGAATGTTTCTCTTTTGGAGGTAACTGTTGAATTCTGTACTCAAAATTACACATTTGTTTAAATAAATATCCACACAAATTCTCATTTATATCAAGTAGCTGGTTTATATTTAGATTATCTCAAGAGGAGGGGAAACAACCATGTATAGGGATTCATAGAAAAATAAACAATCAGCTGAAAAGGTCTAAGAAAATGTTGACTTTGAAAATTTCACTTATTTTCCTTGAAGTTTTCTACCCTTCCCATCGATGGTAAACCAAGATCATGTAATGGAAAATTTCAAACCAGGGTTAAATTCTAAAGTAAAGCTTCAATTCAAGCCCTTCCCCCACGAGAATTAATTTTCCTGATTTCTCCTTCTCTCACATCTAAGGAGAACATTTTAGGTGATTAAATTTCAGAATTTCAAGGTTCCATCCGGGTTACCTTTATGTCCCTTTCTTTAGGTTCTACCTATTCTACATTTCCTAGTGGAAGTACTTATCACCAGAGGGCTAGGCAAGGCCACATGTCCCTTAATTAGGAGTACAGAGCTAAAAATCTGGTGTCGGATTATTAAATGTGAACAATATTTGGGTGTAATCGGCATTTTAAAAATTCAGTAATGCCCATTATAAATAGCTTATCTGGACAGACTCAATAATAAAAATAACTGGTTAAAATAAAAAGAACCACCTGTTTAATAACATAAATATCTTGATAAGAATGAATCACTGTGACCTGGGAGAGTTTAGAAATTCTTGAGTTAGTTACAACAACATGGTGACAGGTTTTTCAAGGTACTTTCTAAACTCAGCAAGCCACTGGGCTCCAACTGCTCCATCCACCACCCGGTGATCACAACTGAGTGTAACAGACATCATGCTAGCCACATCAAACCTAGAAAAAGAAAAACATTTTAGATATTCTGAAATAAAAGACTGCATTTGAGCCAGTAACCACCCAAATGCTCACTCCTACCCTATAATCCCAACCAGGTAATATTTCCTATCTACTCTTCCAGTCTCCTATACCTTTAGCTCAAATTAACAGCTTGAAGAAACAGACCAGATACCTGGAGTAGGAGTGGGCAATGGGCCAAATCCTGCCCTCTGCCTATTTTTATTGATTAAAGGTTTACTGCAATTCATTTATGTCTTGTTTATGCCTCCTTTCATATTACAATGGCAGAGTATTTGCAATAGTGGCCATATGTCCCAGAAAGCCTAAAATACTTACTATATGACTAAAAAAAAAAAAAAAAAAAAATGTGCTGACTCCTCACCTAGAATAAGGCTTTCCATCTCAAATAGAACTAACTGCATTTAGTAAAGAAAAGTTGCTGCCTTGAAGAATTTTATCATATATATAAAATTTTATTTGAAGATGCAATATACCGTGCCAATAACTATATATAAAACTGAGACTCTGGCCAGGCACAGTGGCTCATTCCTGTAATCCCAGCACTTTGGAAGGCTGAGGTGAGCAGATCACTTGAGGTCAGAAGATCAAGACCAGCCTGGCGAACATGGTGAAACAACATGTCTACTAAAAATACAAAAATTAGCTGAGTGTGGTAGTACACACCTGTAATCCCAGCTACACAGGGGCTGAGGCAGGAGAACTGTTTGAACCCGGGAGGCGGAGACTGCAGTGAGCTGAGATGGCACCACTGCACTTCCGCCTGGGTGACAGAGTGAGTGAGAAAGTAAACAATTCCACAAATGTCCATAAGCATAACTTGGAATTTGCTGCACACTGGGTACTACACTGGATCCATGTGAATGAAGCGCTGTTTAGGTACTGTATTATTATAAGTCAAGATTAAAGTATACAGAAGAATGTGTGTAGGTTATATGCAAATACTATATCATATTATATCGGGACTTGAGCATTGTGGATTACAATATTCAAAGGGGTTCCTGGAGCCAATCCCCTGAGGATACCACAGGACAAGTGTATATAGTAATAAAAATTAGCTTATGACTTCCCCTCTATTTTGGCACTTACCCTTTTTCATTATCTGCTGGAACCAGTTTATCCTCTGAAGCACCAATTGCCAAAATACATGCTTGAGGTGGGTTAATAATAGCAGAGAAATTCTTAATTCCAAACATTCCTAAATTGGAGATCGTAAAAGTGCCACCCTAGAGGAAATAATATTAAAAATAATATTGTTTGTCAACATAAATCAGAAAACTTGTCAAATGTTCTGTGAAAAGACCTTAAGCTAAAAAGGTGCAAGGTCTTAAGAAAGGCCTGAATGGAATACATATTACTGAAGATATACAACCATTACAATATGAACAAAAATGTCAGCTGGAAAATGTCTTATTTTCAGATAGTATCTTCTTTTGGATATGTGATTCAATTTTTCTTTATTTTCAGAGCCGTGTGTCAATAAGAATTACATGGCAAGGCTAGGTGCGGTGACTCATGAGGTCAAGAGATCGAGACCATCCTGGCCAACATGGTGAAATGCCATCTCTACTAAAAATACAAAAAATTAGCCAGGCGTGGTGGCGGGCCTGTAGTCCCAGCTACTTAGGAGGCTGAGGCAGGAGAATCACCTTAACCTGGGAGATGGAGGTTGCAGTGAGCTGAGATTGTGCCACTGTACTCCAACCTGGCGACAGAGTGAGACTCCGCCTCAAAAAAAAAAAAAAAAAAAAAAAAAAAGATTACGTGGCAGGCCAGACACAGTGGTTCACACGTGTAATCCCAGCACTTTGAGAGGGTGAGGCAGGCGATCATTTGAGGTCAGGCGTTTGAGACCAGCCTGGCCAACATAGTGAAACCCCGTCTCTACTAAAAATACAAAAAAAATAAAAATAAAAAAATTAGCCAGGCGTGGTGGCATGTGCCTATAATACCAGCTACTCAGGAAGCAGAGGCAGGAGAATTGCTTGAACCTGGGAGGCAGAGGTTGCAGTGAGCCAATATTGCGCCATTGCACTCCAGCCTGGGTGACAAGAGTGAGACTCTGTTTCAAAAAAAAAAAAAAAAAAAAAATTATATGGCAGAATCAAAAGGTGAAAAATGCAATACATGCATTATGCAAACCTTAAAAATAACATAATTAGAAAGCAATAATCAACACCTTACCTGGAATTCGTGTGGCTGTAGTTTACCCTCTCTTGCTTTGGCTGCTAAAGAAACAACATCATTGGCAATGGTTTCCAGTCCTTTTATATGTGCATTAAACACAATAGGTGTGATGAGTCCTGCAGGAGTACTGACTGCAACACTGACATCAACAACATGATTTCTGTTTAAAAAGAAAAATAAATGTAATCAAAAACTGTTTATTAAGAGCCTATGTGCCAGGTTAAGCAAGAATACTTATATTTACTTCAAAAATTTTTTGAACCAATGTGTGTGTTATTGTTCAGCCAAAGATGATGTCTATCTAATTTTTAAATTTTGCTATGCCCTCTCCTTGACTTGTAGTTATTAAAAATGAAAGAGAGAGCTGGGAACGGTGGCTCACGCCTGTAATCCCAGCACTTTGGGAGGCTGAGGTGGGCGGATCACTTGAAGTCAAGAATTTGAGACCAGCCTGGCCAGCATGGCGAAACTCTGTCTCTACTAAAAATACAAAAGGTATTGGTGGTGCACACCTGTAGTCCCAGCTACTCAGGAGGATGAGGCAGGAGAACCGCTTGAACCTGGGAGGCGGAGGTTGCAGTGAGCTGAGATTGTGCCACTGCACTCCAGCCTGGGCAACAGAGCGAGACTCCATCCCCCAATACTGCCCCTGCCCCCGACCCCACCACCCACCAAGAAAAAATAAAAGAGAAATGTGTCAGCAGCAGTAGCTTGGTTTCACACATATCATCTAACATCCCCTGCCATCTGCCTTGACCCACACATGAATGCCACCAATCAAAACTCCTTGGATTTTGAGTGGAAGTACATTGGCTGGAGTTGAGTCTCTACAGGTAGTTTGAGCAGATGAAAGTAAGAGTGGAGGGAAAGAACTGCATTGTAGCATGAAAAAGGAGTGCTCAGGATACATGGGTGGTGGTACCTCAGAAGTACGTAAAAGTAAGGGTTCCCAATCTTTTTTTTTTTTTTTAACACAAAATCAGATCTTGTATTGTCATCAAGTACGGAGTTCCAATCTTTTCTACAGCAGGTGCCCCTATGCATCTGGATCTTATCTCAGAATACCTTTTTAACACTGAAAATACTCAAATTACTTTAAAAAAGAGAGAAACTATACTGAAATTCAGTTATCAAACTGTTCAAAAAACAAAATTATGACAAATGTGCTTCTGTATTCACTCAATAATAAGATCTTGTTGCAGGTCTAATAATGGCAATCACTTTGAAGCAGGCATGAACAAAATAACATTTTGAGACATATACAACTACAATGAGATATGAAAGTAACTGATTTTTACTGGTCACCAGACACAAGTACTGTTAACATTTGATCTGTTCTCTACATTTATAAAAGGAGGAAATGCTAAACGTTAGTAGAGGTTAGTTTAAAAAAAAAAAAAAAAGGTGATTCCCCCCCAGACCCGCCCCAACTGAAGTTCACAAGCTGATGGATTTTATCCATGGTCTCCTTGGGGTCTGCGTAAGGGCCCCTGCTACTGTTCTGTAATCGAGAAAAAGTTAAGGCTTCACACAAAGGCACAGCTCTGCCTCCAAAGAACTCCAGCTCCCTCTAGGCACAAGCTCCAAAAAGATCAATGGGTACCAAATCCCCCAATTTGCCTAAGTTGGCTGGAGAGGGATTTTGTCACTTGCAAAAAAACACAGGGACCTGCTCTAATAAAAATACAGTGTATGACTCATTAATTACCACAGGACTCTAGCCAAGGTATCACACAGCAAATACTGCTTTCTTGATTAAATTATTACAATATTGCTTGTTCCGTCATCCTCCCTTTGAGACAGTAAGGATAGTGTTCCCTATATTGTTTACCACTGAATCCAGTAAAGAGTACATGTTAAAAAATGCTGAATGAGTATATGAACAAGTAAATGAATGGTGTTTGGTTAGAATTAACAGACAATCTCAATCCCTTCATCTAAGTATAGAAATATCTTGATATTGCAGGTTCAGTTCCAGAACACCAAAATAATACTGCAATAAAGCGAGTCACATGAATTTTCTGATTTCCTAGTACATATGAAAGTTATGCTTAACACTACACTGTTGTCTACTAGGAGTGCAATAGCATTATGACTAACAAAAAAACCAATGTATATACCTTAATTTAAAACTACGTTATTGCTAAAATATGCTAAAAAGCACCTGAACTTTTAGCTAATTGTAATTTTTTTGCTGGTAGAAGATCCTGCCTTGATGTTGATGGCTGCCGACTGATGAGGATTATGGTTGCTGAAGACTGAGTGGCTGTAGCAGTCTCTTAAGATAACAATGAAGTTTGTCCCACTGATTGACTCTTCTTTTCACAGAAGATTTCTCTGTAGCATGCAGTGCTGTTTGACAGCATTTTAACCATGGAATTTCTTTCAAAACTAGAGTCAGTGCTCTCAAATCCTGCAGTTGCTTTTTCAACTAAATTCATAGGATACTCTAAATCCTCTGTTGTAATTTCAACAATGTTCACAGCTTCTTTACCAGGAGTAGATTCTAGTTCAAGAAACCACTTTCTTTTCCTCTCCATAAGAAGCAGCTACTCATCCATTCAAGTTTTATCATGAGATTGCAGCAATTCATTCCCATCTTCAGGCTCCACTTCTAATTCTAGTTATCTTGCTATTTCTACCAATATCTGCAGTTAATTCCTTTACTAAAAAGTCTTTGAACATCTCAAAGTTACCGACGAGGGCTGGAATCAGCTTCTTCCAAACTGCTGTTAATGATGGATCACTTTCAGAAGGTTTTCAATTTACTTTGCTCAGATCCATCAGAGGAATCACTATGTATGGCAACTATAGCCCTAAAATAAATTTCTTTTTTTTTTTTTTTTTCCTGAGACAGAGTCTTGCTCAGTCGCCCAGGCTGGAGTGCGGTGGTGCGATCTCAGCTCACTGCAAGCTCCGCCTCCCGGGTTCACGCCATTCTCCTGCCTCAGCCTCCCAAGTAGCTGGGACTACAGGCACCTGCCCCTACACCCGGCTAATTTTTTTGTATTTTTAGTAGAGAAAGGGTTTCACCGTGTTAGCCAGGATGGTCTCAATCTCCTGACCTCGTGATCCACCTGTCTCGGCCTCCCAAAGTGCTGGGATTACAGGCGTGAGCCACCACACCCGGCCAAATAAATTTCTTAAACAATAAGACTCAAAAGTCAAAATTACTCTTTGATCCATGGGCTACAGCATGGATGCTGTGTTAGCAGGCATGAAAATAACCTCAATCTAGGCTGGGCATGGTGGCTCACACAATCCCACAACTTTGGGAGGCTGAGGCAGGCAGATCACCTGAGGTCAGGAGTTCGAGACCAGCCTGGCCAACATAGTGAGATCCAGTCTCTACTAAAAATACAGCTGGGCCTGGTGGCAGGCACCTGTAATTCCAGCTACTCGGGAGGCTGACGCAGGTGAACTGCTTGAACCCGGGAGGCCGAGGTTGCAGTGAGCAGAGATCATGCCACTGCAGTCCAGCCTGGATGACAGAGTGAGACTGCATCTCAAAAAAAAAAAAAAAAAAAAAAAAAGAAAAGAGAACTTCAATCTTGTACATGTCCATCAGAGCTCTTGGATGGGCAAGTGCATTGTCTACAAGCATAAATTTTGAAAGGCATCCTTTTTTCTGAGCAGTAGGCCTCAACAGTGGGCTTAAAATATTCAGCAGACCATGCTGTAAACTGTCATCAGGCTTTGTTGTTCCATATATAGCATAGGCAGAGCAGATTTAGAATAATTCTTAAGGGCCCTAGGATTTTCAGAATGGTAAATGAGCACTGGCCTCAACTTGAAGTCACCAGCTGTATTACCTGCTAACAGAATCAACCTGTCCTTTGAAGCTCTAGAGCAAGGTATGGACTTTTCCTCTCTAGCTATGAAAGTCCTGGATGGCATCTTCTTCCAATATAAAGCTGTTTCATCAATTATCTTAGCTATATCTTCTGAATAATTTGTACTTCACCCTGTACTTTTATGTTATTATGGCCTCCTTTCCTTCAACCTCATGAACCAACCTCTGCTAGCCTCAAACTTCTGTTATGCAGCTTCCTCACCTCTATTGGCCTTCAAAGAATTGAAGAGAGTTAGGGCCTTGCTCTGAATGCTTTGGCCTAAGGCAATGCTGTACCTGGTTTAATCTTTTATCTAGACCACTCAAAACTTTCTCCATATCAGCAACAAGGCTGTTTCACTTTCTTGTTATTCATGTGTTCACCAGGATAGTACTTTTCATTTCCTTCAAGAACTTTTTCTTTGTATTCACAAGTTGGCTGTTTGGCACAAGAAGCCTAGCTTTCAACCTATCTTGGCTTTTGACATGCCTTACTCATTGAGCTGAATCATTTCTAGCTTTTAAAGTAAGAGACATGAAAGTCTTCCTTTCACTCAAACACTCAGAGGCCACTGTAGAGTTACTAATTGGCCTGATTTCAGTTTTATTGTGTCTCAGGGAATAGGGAGGCCCAAGGAGAGGGAGAGAGACAGAGGAACAGCTGGTTGATAATTCTATCAACCAGTCAGAACACATGCAAAATTTATCAATGAAGTTTGCCATCTTATATAGGCATGGTTCATGGGGCATCGAAACAATTACAATGGTAACATCAAAGATCCTTGATCACAGGTCACCCTAACAGATAGAATAATAAAGTTTAAAATACTCTAGGAATTGCCAAAATGTGACACAGAGACAGGAAGTGAGCACATGCTGTTGGAAACATGGTGCCATCAACTTGCTTGACAGAGGATTGCCACAAGCCTTCAATTTATAAAAAAGCTCAATAAATCAAAGTGCAATAAAGCGAGATCTCACAAGTAGATGGCTCTCACTTCACACCCACACAGTAACAAGTATTGATGAAGACATAAAGAAACTGGAACATTTATCCACTATTGGTGGGAAGGTAAAACGGTGTAACTGCTTTGAAAAATAATGTACAAGTTTCTCTAAAAATTAAACATACTTTTACCCTATGACTCAGATATTCCATTCCTAGGAATCTACTGAAGAAAAATAAAAACACATGTCCACACAAATAATTGTATGTAAATATTCATAGTAGCATCATTCATAATAGCAAAAAACTGGAAAACAAATGTTAATCAACTGGTGAATGATAAAGAGGTACACTGAATACGATTAAACACTATTCAGCAAGA